ACACACACACACACACACACACACACACACACACACACGCAATCTTCCTCTTACCACATAAGCAGAGGCTTTTTAAAAACCAAAGGCTGGAGTGCAGAGTTCCCTAGCAACAGCCCCATGTACATTGCTGACCAGAGACTCTTACTTTGTCCTCTTTTCTCTCATAGACACATTTATAAATGCAGGCACAGTCTCTAAGCAACAAGTGCTCATAGTTTTACATTGTGTGCAGCTGAAATTTGCTTTAGGAACAAAGAAGTAAGTTAATGTTTCATCACAACAACAGAGGAGACAATGTTGAAATTCTCCAAAACCAAAACTACCAGTCAGTGTTCCGCCTCCAGTTCCCAAACTTGGAGCTAGTGCATTTAAGACGTTAATAAGACATATTCCAACATGACTCTCTTCCAGGTCCAAGCGAAAGGTTCTGGGCCGCAAGGAGCCTTCAGATTCCTTTGGCAGCCGGCAGAGCCTGGTGTCGCCCGTGAAGCACAGCGCCATTGTGAGCGACCATCGAAACCTAACCTTGGGCAGCAGCCAGAGGTCGAGCTCTCGCAACGAGAACTTCATGGCATTGCTTCAGAAGAAAGGCAGCAAGTCTTCCGGTGGAGGAGCGAGGGTGTCCGCAATGGAGCTCCTGAAGAGCACAAACCCTCTCGCGCGACGTGTCACGGAATTCTCAAGCACCAATGCATCGGCCGCTGAGGGAGGGGAGGTGCAGTCTGCCTCAGACAAACCCAACGATCAGTGAATGGAAATACAATCTCTAGACGTTGACCTGGTCTGGATCCTGTTTACTACAACTCAAACCCACTCTACAATCTGCCACACACAGGGGACGGGTCCTGAGCTTTCCAACCTCTGATTGACCATTTTGGATTGTCCAAAGAAATTGGAGCACATTTTTTGGAAAAAATGGTGCCTTCTTGGGTTGGAGCTCAGTGTTTGACTGTCAAACTCATCAGAAGAGGTTGTTTTTTTAAACTATACAGTATATAGATATGAAGAAAAACTCCTGTGTAGTAAGAAAAACGTATAGACAGACTGACTGGTGGAGATGACGCTGGGAATGTAGAGATATACGGTGGATATATCTCCAGTCCTTTTGGTTTGGCATTAACAACAGATCCCAATCCCATCTGAATCTGCAGCGATACCAATTTACCACAACACCACTGAGGGCAAGGAATCAACATCATTCAAGAAATAATTGGAATACAATTACAAAATCTGCCTGTGATTCAGTTGCTTTACAGGTGTAACACCTGTAGGGCTCTACGAAGAAGAGGATCGGGCATCGGTTTTGCGATGGGAAAACTGAGGAAGGTAAACTCGGACATTGTGGCTCCATTTTCCTCTCCACGTTGAATGCAATAGCATAGCAGCCCAACAGCGAAGTGCCAGATTGAGCAAAGACACACTGCATGGGGGATTTTTTTATTTCTTGCCACCAAAGATGAGGCATGAGCATGTCCCTCATTTTGTTGCTCGTGCTGTGACCGTGAACGTGGATCTTTGGTAAGCATTCCACAGAGACACCAAGCGAACCGACTCGGCTTGGAAAGCGAAGCACTTTTCTTTCCTTTGGCCTCAGAGGTCGTTTCCATGGCGAAATCCCGTTTTGCCGCTTTGGGTTTTATTTCCCCTCATCGTCCATTATCTTCTTAATCTGTTTTTAGATGTTAGTTTTGCTCCTATTTTTTTATACATTCTAAATGTCTATTGACTGTATATGTTTAATGGGATTATACTGTATGTATCATGTACAAAGATAAACGGAAAGCATCTATCAACAAAGACTCGAACTAGTGTACAAAGATGTGAGAAGCTTGGACTTCAAATTGCCCATGCACACACTTTCAGCACACACACTGACTAAAAAAAAGTCACGCTATGAAAAAGGGGGGAGGGGGGAAACGACTGTTGACACGAGTTGTGTTTATTTGTGTGGATGCAATCATGTCTGCTGATGTTTCTGCACAGAGATCATGAAGCAGGCCTGGTTATTGAACAGGGTTTTTATTCATTTCTGGTCTCTGGTGTTGGGGGACCAAAGAACTGTTACACACAGACCACAGAGGACCTACAGTAATGTTTTATTTGTGTGAGTGTGTATAGATGGACGCTTCAACTACGGAGAGCAAACATGGAGCTAGTGCACAAACGTTTGAATGGTTTTACGTTTGACGTGAGGTGTGCCCCCCCCAGTAGTTTTCATCGGAGCTTGGATGTGCGGATCGTCACACTGCATGCCCTTAATAGATTAGAATGACCTATGTGAAGTCCCTTTAGGTGAGTCTTCCTACTCACTTGTCACTTTTGAAATTATCCAAGTCATTCTTTTGGCTTAACAAGACGAGGTCTCGGATTAATTTAAAGTAGACAGGGCCTAGCTGGAATTTCAACGGTTGTTGCAGATCATTAAAAGGCTTAAGATGAGGTTCGAAAACTTGTTCTCCAATTATTAGGTCTTAATTCAGAGGCACAGGGATTAACCAGAGCAAATGTAGTGACTGGATATGTTTCATGGCATCATGGCAGAGTAAACGTCAAAGAATCTTCCACCTTAATTTTGGTTGTTTCCAACGAGTCCTTTGACCGTGCATTAGTTTTTAATTCATCAGCGGGAAATTTTGTATCATCTACTCATAGTTATTTGGAAGGCAATACAAACTGTTCAACAATATCTTGTGACAGGAAAAATGTGCTAGCTTGTCTTGCTTTGATCAGAGGTCATAATCTTACAATTTTAAAGCCAATACCTCTCCAAAAGATCAGAACCAAAATCAATAGGCTCATCAGAAATCGTCCGTCCATCCATCCATCCAT